GGAAGAAAGGGGGGAGGGAAAGGGGGAGAGGGGGAGGGGAAAGAAAGAGAGGGGGAGGGGGAGGGGTAAGGGAGAGGGGAAGGGGAAGGCAAAAGAGAAGGCGAAGGGAAGGGAAGCTTTAGAAATGAATCTTTGATGCTACCCTTGGGGTAAATATAGAATCTTACAAACCATCAATACTAACACCGGCTTCATTGTGAGGTTACCACAACAGAACCCCCACAAGTCTGAAAACAGCCCTCCCCTCCTTTACTTTGGCTCTCCAGAAAGCCAGGGAGGGTCTCCTTGTGGGAAATCCTTTCCATGCCCATTTCCCTTCTCTGGGCTGAGGTATCCCTTATCCGAACCGTTCCCTCAGCTGCGGCCCTTCCTCCTCCTTCCTCCCCGCCCCCAAGGTCATTCTCACAGACCCCTTCGCTTCTCCCCCCCCCCCGCCTCCCCAACATTCCCGGTGCCTGACAAGAACCGCGGGGGGGGGCCCTACCGCAGCATCATGGCTTCCATCTGACCACCTGCCGCAGGTGGAGTTCGCTCTCCGCGGCCACGATGGGCTGTTGGTTTTGCAGGTGGTAATTGATGAGGTGGCTGATGCTTTCAAACAGGGCGTCTTTTGTTCTCACCTGGGGAAACAACGGCGAGAAACGAGGCGTGGAAAAGCTCCCGCATTTCACTTCCTTATTATCAGAATCAAAGATTTCGGTAAGGCCGGTGGGATAAACGGAAGAGACAAGAAACACTGGAAGTCTTTAAGAAGAGACTGGACAGCCATTTGTCTGGAACGTTCTAGAGTAGACCAGGGCTAGGCAACCTTGGCTCTTTTATGACTTGCGGATTTCAACTCCCAGAATTCCTGAGCCAGCCATGCTGATACCCCTGACCTACATGATTAATCATGAAGGTAAGAGAATTTGCGGGAAACTTATGGAACTCACTGCCACAAGATACAGAGTCAGCCAATAGCTTCGACGTGATGCGCCCGCTCAAGATAGTTAAACAGAATACATGGAACATTATCCAAACGTGATTTATGAACTAGGCCAGGGGTGGGGAACCTTGGCTCTTTTATGACTCGCGGACTTCAACTCCCAGAATTCCTGAGCCAGCCATGCTGAGGGGACAGGGAGAGGTTTCCAAGCTGAGCCATGCTGGCTCAGGAATTCTGGGAGTTGAAGTCCACGAGTCATAAAAGAGCCAAGGTTGCCTATCCCTGCCTTAGACATATGGACTTCAACTCCCAGAATTCCTGAGCCAGCCATGCTGAGGGGAAAGGGAGAGGTTTCCAAGCTGAGCCATGCTGGCTCAGGAATTCTGGGAGTTGAAGTCCACACCTCATAAAAGAGCCAAGGTTGCCTACCCCTGGTATAGGGTTTCCTGCCTGAGCAGGGGGTTGGACTAGATGACCTCCAAGGTCCCTTCCAACTTTATTATTATTATTATTATTATTATTATTATTATTATTATTATTATTATTAAGAACGTGGAATTGCCGATTCTGGGGAACTGGCTTTCCAGCCCCGCCGCACTTATAGGCAGAGAGTCCTCCCCTTACAACAGTTCATTTAGTGACCATTCAAAGTGGCGACGGCATGGAAAAAAAGGAAGTGACGGCCATTTTTTTCACACGTACGACCGTTGCTGCAACTGGCTCAAATTTAGTGTCCCAGGGTTGCGTGATCCTCTTTTGCAACCTTCTGGCAAGCAAAGTCAATGGGGGAAAGCCAGGTTCGCTTAACAACCGTGTCATTAACTGAATCACTGCAGTGACCCGCTTAACGACTCGGGCAAGAAAGGTCGTAAAATGAGGCAAAATTTACCTCACAAATGTTTCGCTTAGCTGCAAAAACTTTGGGCCCAATCGTGGGTGTAAGTCGACGACTGCCTGTATTTAAAATGTTTTTAACTTGTTTTCCACGAACTTAAAAGTAATGGATATGTCTACCTCCCATGCCGAAATAAGTCAAAATTACCCCATCTTGGAGAGGCTGGCTATGAGCCCCGGGTGACGAATCGTACAGAGAGATACAGGGCAACCTCTTCATCTGTTAGGGGCGCCCTTTCAGCTTTCGCCACGTTTCCCAATTATTTTCACACATTTCTTCCCTTTTTCTCACAGCCACACTGCCTGTTTGAGGAGCCGTGCTGTGGTGTTGTGCCAGACCTTATCTCCCAGGCTGGCTTGCATGTTGCACTCCAGCGACAAGGCGGTTATTCATTACACTGAGTATTAATTAAAAGCAACATATTAACTGGCCCATCAACCAAGTCTACTATAATGATCATCCTTTTTTCCCCGTTATTGCTCACAAATGTTGCCAGCTCATTTATTACTTGATCTTGCAGTTCGAGGGAGGGAGGGAGGAAGGAAGGAAGGAGGAGGTAGGATTAACGAAGGAAGGAAGGAGGAAGGAAAAAGGGAAGGAAGGAGGAAGGAAAAAAGGAAGGGAGGGAGGGAGGAACAAAAGGAAGGAGGAAGGAAGGAAGGGAGGAAGGAAGGAAGGAATAAGAAATGAAGGAAAATGGGAGGGAAGGAGAAAAGGAAAGGAGAGGAAAGAAGGAAGGAAGGAAGGAAGGAAGGAGAAAGGAGGGAGGA